GACAGTATTTTATTGATTCTTAAAATGTAGTTCACTCTTTTTTAATTTTCCTCTTGACTTTTACTGCATACTTTCTGTCAGGTTCATTTTACTTCAGATTCATATTGGAAGCAATATGTTTTTTCATAATTCACTATGGCTTATATAGTTATTGTGACTTTTGCTAGATTTTATCAGATCATTTATAACATTTATAACAGATCAGTTAACATGTCTTTGCAAAATTAAACTTTCAAATCCTTTTACTAGTCAGTCAGAGTATGTGGCACAAAGCGCTAAGAGACTGTCTTTTTAGCCTAATCTTCTTTTTGCTTGTCGATATACTAGTTTCTTATTGGATAAGTCTCGGAGACACATACAAACAAGACAGAGTCCTATCTTTTACACAAATCTTCATTCAAAATTCGATAGGTTGTACTTTTCGGTTTACTAGTTTCATCTTCGACAAGTTTCTCAGACACACACAGAAAGCGCACAGAATCTTACCTTTTACACAAATCTTCATTAAAAATTCGATTGGCTGTACTTTTCGGTATACCGGTTTTAAATTTGATGAATCTCTCTCGAACACACAATGTTCGTTTTAAAGAATATTTTTGACTTTGTTTATGTTTTTTTATTTACAAATGATTTTAGACAAAGATGATCAGTTACTGTCGCAAAAGTCTCAAAAGAATCGATCAAATCAACAATAATGAAGTTGTTCCCGTAATATTGTTAACTATATCATACATTTTTGTACTACTTATACCGAATTTGTATCGGAATTTAGTATTCGATCTTTGTTTAGTATTCGAAAAGTGTGCTAACACCAGTATGGATCTATGGCATTCAACTATGGGGAACACCCCCAACATCCAACATAGAAATTCTTCAAAGATTTCGATAAATGGTAAACGCTCTATTGTATGTAACTAACATTCAAATCTATCAGAACCTTAGGATAATGCCGGTAAAAGACGAAGTAAAAAAGTTAGCTAGAAAATATCATAAACGAATATAAATTCATCCTAACATGCTTGCTTCGAATTTGATATCCTCTTCAAAAATTTCTAAGAGACTGAAAAGGAAAAACCGCTTCAGATATTATAATAAAATTTTAATTTAAAAAGAAAGGAGTGGCTCTCCACAGGGAGAACTACCCAAATTGTAAATTGTTCTGCCTTAAATAGTGTTTATTAAAAAATTGTAAAATGTCATAATGTGACAGAATACATATTGAATTTGAATTAAATAAATAAAAAACAAAAAAAAATTTATGCATCGATATCACTGGATTAAAATTTTTAATGGCACCAGATAATATGAATGGATTTCTGATAGACAATGTAAAAATACTTACGAAAATAAACAACAACATGTCACTTTTTTATATTTTGTAAATAATACTTTTTTTCTCATATATAAATATTTTTTTTAAAAAGGTTTTATATTTAATCAAAAATTTTATTAAATTTTTTCTCTTCATTAATTCCTCATTAACAATTTACTGGTATCAGTTTACGGTTATTATACGGCTATTGAGTATATATAATTAACTACCATATTAACATAATTTTTGAATAATTTATAAATGATTTTAACAAATATGTGTACATATTTATATATATTTATATGTTTGTAAAAATCATTTATAAATTATTCAGAAATTATGTTAATATGGTATATATATATGAAATACAAAGCTTGGTTTTGTCATGGATATGTCAGGTAAAGTCATTACTCATTACTGCTGCTATTTGAGTTGTAAAGAGTCGAATACATTTACATGAAACTCAGGATATGAAACCTTACACTGTTTCAGTTCGAACTTCTATTAAATTTTTAAATTTAATAAATTTTATTTAGTATTTTGTTTTTAAATATTTATTTTTATTTTTTTATTAATATGTTGAGGCTAGTTGAGTTAGTGCACTTAAGCACTTTTATTCTCTATTAACTGCGAGGTATCTTCAAAACCCCTCTTTACGCCTTGACTGGATTATTGTTTATCACTTCATCAGACTAAGCAATAATTGACCTCAGATCTGCATACCTCCCCGAAGAGTCTGTAACCATTCTGAGCTTCGATAACGCGGTGTTGGTAAGTCTGTCAGTTTTCGTCAATAATTTCAGGGCTTTTATTCTCTATTAACTGCGAGGTATCTTCAAAACCCCTCTTTACGTCTTGACTGGATTATTGTTTATCACTTCATCAGACTAAGCAATAATTGACCTCAGATCTGCATACCTCCCCGAAGAGTCTGTAACCATTCTGAGCTTCGATAACGCGGTGTTGGTAAGTCTGTCAGTTTTCGTAAATAATTTCAGGGCTCTACCTATCCTTTTAATAATTTTATAATTTTATTAAAATGAACATAAGTTGCCCCAGTTTCTGGTAATACCTGCTGACAATCAATAAATAAAAATTTCCTAAGAACGTGATACCATTAAACTCCAATTACCATTGAGATACGGTTATGAATAAAGGGTTAAAGCGAAAGAAGGTATTATGCAAATCCAATAAGCCTAATGTATGGCCAAAAAGAAGTGAATAGAAAGAATTCGTAGAACTAATGCGAAGATGAAAATCTTGAATATGAAGCGTCTGGGTTATTTGCAAACCACTTGGAAATGCTTTATGCAATCGCGTCGATGATTGCAAGGAGCAGTGGGGAATCTGCATATGAGTTATGTTGTTATGAGCGCATTTGTCTGTGAAAATATTTACTGAAAATGATTGCACTTGCACTTGCACGGCACGGCGATGGCACGCCGAGGTATGTGAAATTAATAAGGCAACACATACGCCGCGTGTCTGAACTGCAGAACTGCGCGTACACTTGTTGGTCTTTGTGCGAAATCCTACAATTTGCTGCACTCATGCCGGGTTAAAGCACACATATCTGCAATGATGTGGTACGAGACCCGCGCGTGTATGCCTTTCAATCAAATTAAAAGTAATGACAAAGGAAAATATCATTTTTTTTCATTTGGAAATGCAATTTGCACTTTGTGACTTATGGCCCTATTAGTAGTAAATATCTGCCAACAGCGCACAGTCAGACGTGATGGACAGCTGTTTTTACAACTGCGATTGTCATTTATTTTCATAAAGCTGTGTTTTTACTCATTATTAATAAAAATGTTGGATGCGATAATTTTTGCAGCAAAAAAAATTTAAAAAATATATAAAAAAATAACAATTATACCAACACGCTGCAGGAGCATGTTAATCTCATCCTGGAATTCTTCCAGAAATAGAAGATAAAAATTATCAATGACACAACTAAAGCCCTCATTATTACCCGTAAATACACGCAACTTCCACCGCGAGTAGTAAGATTTGTTGACATCTCGATTAATTGGGAGGACAGCATTAAATACCTAGGAATCACATTTGATAAGCGGTTCACTTGGCACAAGCATATACAAGTCAAGAGAAGTAGTTGCACAAAAAAACTGCAATGCTTACAACCACTTTTCAAACACAACATCCTTAGAGAGAAGAAGAGAAAGCTGATCTACAGCCTACTACTTTATAGGTGTGTCGCGTATAGTAAAGCTGCCGACTCTACTATCCTGAAGCTACAGGTTGCTCAAAGTCAGGCTCTCCGAAGACTCTTCAAAGTATCATTGTACATTAGAGAATTAAATCAACTTTGAGTACCTAATCAAACTCAAATTAGAGACGTCATTTGAGTTTCGTTGCCTTTGAGTTTTAATCACTTCCAGTTTTATTTTATTTTGTTGTGGAATTATGTCGAAAGACTGAAAAAATTCCTTTATAAAATCACAATCAATAATGATAACTAAACCGTATTGTCACATCTGATTGAAGTTGGTTGATGAAAAGTCTCATTTATTCCAACTCTTGAAACATTATACTTAAGTGGCAAGGAACGACAATTATAAATATTTACCAAAGTCTTATCAGAGTAATGTCTGCTCAAGTAGCACCTGATCCAATCCAATTTTAAATTCAACTGTCTGAAGCTAGCAACACATTTAGCAGATTGCCCAATTCCAAAAGGATTTACAAATTTCACACATTTGTCAAAGGATAAACTTGAAAATTGTCTGATTTGGAAGCAATTAGCGCCTTAGGTAGAGCTCAATAAAACGTTTCCATTAAAAACACATTACAGCTCCGCAAGGAAGTAATATCCTTTTTAACGCTATTTGGTAAATGAACATTAAAGTACGGAATTTACTTACATTTTGTGATTCATTTGCATTTGTCTTAGAGTAATTGCGTTACCAGAGCTGAAATATTTGGAATATTTGGGACAAGAAATCAGGAAAATATATATAATTCCTTTAAATACTTTTTTTATTTATTAAATATTTTTTTAATATTCGATTATTACACACAATTTCTTTTTAAGTACAAAATTTGAGACATTTTCATAGACTTTTTTATTTAAGTGTAATATACGTGATTAAAAATACTTATAACAATATATAAAATATATTCTTAATTTATTATATCTTTTATTTTAAAAGTAATTGACTATAAAAAAATTATGTTTATAAAAAATAAGTTCAAGAAAGGCTACAAATGGAGTTTAATAAAATATATCCATAAAAGTCCCTCTTTAGATAACAATTACTCAATTAACGATTTATAAATACTTCGAAATTATAAAAACTAAATTGAAATCCCTGTCATCCTCATTAAATTACTAATGACAGTAAAAATACCCACTCTATTTAAAAGTTCCCAATCCATATCAACTCCCTCCCCTTTGCCCAAAGAACTACGACTATAAAATATTTTACAAAACTGTTTTGAGTTCACAGAAGAAACTTCAGTCTAAGCGTAGTTATTTTGACAAGTAACTAATAGAATAATGTTCCATATCTTCAATGGAGCTGAACTTAACAATATCTACTACATAATTATATATTTATGTGTATATTTTGAATTAATGAAAACTATTAAATAAAATTTATAATTATCCATTTGAAATGAAACGAAATGAAATGAAATAATGAAATTGTTATAAAATTGATGAGGAATCAAGTCAAATTTAAATTATACTCTTCATTTCATGGTGCTTCTGTGCAATCTGTTAGTTATTAGGAACATAGCTTTATACTTCATCCCTCTCTTGTGATAAATACATACATAAATTTTTAACCACAGCAACATCACAATTCCTATTTTTGTGGACATGTTTTACTGAGTTCCTGAGAGTTCATCGCAATACATTCCATAAAAGCATCTTCATTAAATGCGGTATTCATATCCACATCAAAATCTCTGTTCCCTGAATTATACTGAGAGGGATTTTGTGCTGTTGTATGCACATCAAACGAACTAAGCGAATAGTTGACGCTACCGCTACCGGCACCGCTACCGGTACCGCTACTTATACGTTTACGTTTACGTGAGATAATGGTTTCATTTGGCTTGTAACAAAATTTGATTGGACTGCTACACCGATTATCCGACGGACGTAATAGTTTAATATACGCCTCGACAGGTTTTTCGATATTTTCATCTTTATAAGGAGGAATTTGGCACGTTATGGCATAATCATGGTGAACATCGGATGTCTGTAGTCTTGCATAGGCTTCCCAAACTATTTTGCCAACATCATTAATTTCATAAAACACCACCTTAATGTTAGTTTTTTTAACCTTTTCTACTAACAATAGTATCTCCTCTCCACCATTTGCAGACCCCGACGCAGTGCTTGAGCGACATATATGCAGACGACCAGTTTGCGCAGAGTTAGTATTGTTTATTACTGTCGAATAAATTGGTGGTGCTATGCGCATCCAAGATTTTGAAGTATCTGCTGCGAACGCTTCGAAGCAAAAGCGTATCTAAAAGTTCATTACATGAATTTTATATTTTTATAAAATTTTCATTTAATGGCTGTATTAATATTTATAACTCTTACCTGATTAATGTTAATTTCTTTTGCTTCCTTTTCAGACTCTTTACGTAATTCTTCAACTTGCTTTTTAGATAAATCTATACCGCCCAATTCCATAATTAATCGCTTCGATTTTTTCTTCAAAAGCTCGTTGAATATATATTTTTTCTCTACATGTACGATGTTCGTATATAGAAATATTGCTTTAAAGCCTCGTTCAGATGATACATATTGATCATGTACATCACATTCTACCCCATTCCCGCATACAATCATTTGATGGGAATGTGGGCTTTCGATGTTTGTTTGGAATACGCTACAGCGTATTATGGCTGGAGCATTAAAATTATGTAGCTCCACTTCTACATGTAATTTAAGACCACGTTGTGTATGTGCACTACGTAGTGAACCCTCCGTATAACGAAATTCAGACTTATATCGAAAACGGCAATTTCGAATGGGTTCTTTAATAACCTTGAGCTCCGCTACGTAATGGTCTCGTGTTGACTGGGTAAGACACGTAGCCGATTTATGAATCTGTGTTCCTGAAAGCGGCAAAGGGTGTTTTTGCGTCTCATGCGAAATATGCGCTTGGCTTAAATTCGAAAACTCTGCTCCTGAAAATTGTGCAATTGCAGACGAATTCGGCAAATTTTCATTTGCAGCTACACTTGTTCTAGAAGGGGTTCTTAGGGAACCACTTATGGAAGGATTCGATTCCATAACGAACGAAAAAAATAACTTTTTTATTCACGAAAATCTACAAGTTGTTTTTGCGTGACTTTAATTGTCCGAATTTAGAACTTAAAGAAAACTTCAAAATACCGCGAAGCAATAGAGTTGCCAACTTTCATTATAAAGGTCAATAAAGTTAAACATTTTTTTACTAACAAAGAACAGTTAGGTAAATATGCTTTGATAATTATAATAGTAAAAACTGAAACTATTATCCTTTGGTAAGTATATTTTAGTGACACTATACAGGATAATGCCATTTACAAAAATGTGGTTTGATAGATATAAAATGGAGAGTGTGTAATCTGCAATCAGTAGGCAATAGATTATAGACTAGGTAAATTGTGTCTCTACCACGTGTTTATAATGCAATAGGTTATGATAAATGTTTATTAAAGATTAGTAGTAAAATTATTAGAATATGGAAAGTTCTGATTATTAACAATTACGTGTTTACAGTTTAATTTCGGGAACTATACCATTATATGCAACTGAGATTAGATGTATCGCGTGTATATTTCTATAATGCCTGCACTCTATCTAAGATCTTTTAAAATAATAATATTTTCGATATGATAAACTAGAAAGCTACTGAGACTGATATTTAGTTGTTCTATTTTTATGTGGCTATCATATTAAAGCACAATTATTTAGAAGTAAGTAATGCATTCTACCAACTTTGATAATCGCTGATATTGCACTTGTAGATTTGCTCTAAATAAATGTTCGTACTTATCGTTCAGACCGTGTGCGAGTTCAAGTAAATTGAGGTAAAGTAAATTGAAATTTCTTATTTATTTTTTGCACTGCACTTATGTAAATATTTATTTGTTCATTTATTCATCCCCGTTTCATTTATTACCGGGAGTACAGAATCTTATATGATTGCTATGTAAAAGCGATGCTATGTTCCATTAAAATCGTCGGAAAAGCAAATAATTTTGAAAGCGAATATCAATTCCATTTGACATTCATATTTAATCAACAACCTCTCTTATGGTAATTCTTCTATAAGCAAAAACAATCGCATAATTTTTTCCACATTTGTGTGATATAGGAACGTGTTAGTACGGTCATACCTGGCATCATTTTAAATGTCATGGCTGCGAAATATTGCAGTTGTCAAAGACTTTCACACGTTGAATACTTAATTAAATTTAATTTTATATTTCACACAAAATTCTACAAAAATTTATTTCTTTCACACTTTTCCATATCAAAATAGGAAAACATATTAATCTATGTCTTCTTCATAGGCTCATAGGCTTTTGTTTTTCCTTAACTTGATTTCCTTGAAGTCTTACCTTTCAATTTTCCTTAAAGCCTCTATTTTAACTTGATTTCCTTGAAGTCCTACCTTTCAATTTTCATTAAAGCCTCTAGTTTACACTGTTTTACAGTAGAGTTCTTATAAGTTATTAAAGAACTAAAACTTTAAAGGAAAAATATCCCCGGCGATGCACCCATAGATGTTACACACACCTACAATCAATTTACTTTTACTTTACAACAAATTAGCTAATCTAAAAGGTAACATTCAGTTGTCGATTAAAATACTTAATTGACTTAAATATTAAACACAGTTATTCTCATCGCATTTCTGAATACCATCCTTTGAAATTGTGTGACATGTTGATCTCTTAATTAGCTAAAATGATACTATATTTAATTCTAAAATTTTAGAGTTTGAGGGATGTTTCTATTTAAATAAAATTTGTATATTTTAATTTTAAGGACCATAAGAAAAAAAAATACCGATATATACTTAAACGGACAAATACGTGGTTACCCTGACAAACAGTACAACTCTGTATAAATGCAACTCTGTATAGATTATAATTTGCAAACAAAAAGTCATTTTGCTCTGTTCTAGAATAATCTAGAAGTAAGAAAGTGTGTATTGTAATATGTATGTATGTATTGCAATCTATTACATTAATTGAATACTTTTATTACATACATTTTCGTTTCGTAGAAATCTCTAGAAATAAGAAACTGGAAATCAATACATAAAATATGTATATATATGTGTATGTGTGTATATACATATATATATTATAAATAGTAATTTACTAATATATAATAATTGAAACGATTACGAGTATTTTATATTGAGTGACTAAAACAGCAGCAAGGTGAGGTTAGGTTCTTTGTCTTAATAGCAAATAATAGAAATCCCTAAGTAAAGGAAAAAATAAAGATATTAATTAACGTATTTATTATTGAAATCCTGAACAATTCTAAGCAAATGTCTTAAATTTGAAATTGATAATCAAGATAAAGCTAATTTGGTTAGTGTAAATTTAAACAAATTGCTATTATCGGTATTTAACATAATTTTGATATAAATTTGTATTACGGCAAAGAGATGCAGTTAATTACTTGTAGGATCACATTACACCAATTATAAAACTGATAGATTTTTCACTTTAAGATATTAGTAAATTTTTTTTATTAGTTAATTTTTTTTTGATTTATGCAGGCAAATATAATAGAATCTTCTAAATATATTAAAATAAATTAAATACAATTTGCAATTAAATAAACAAAAGAGTTCTCAAACTGGAAGTGTGAACGATTAAGGTGTATTAAAATGTATTAAAATGGCACTACAGATATTACTAAATAATAAGAAAATGTGTTATATTAAATAACTTAGCTTTTATATTGCTTCAATATTATTCTTAACATGGTATTATTACCATGGTATTATTACCATGATATGTTCATTTAACCTCACTTTTTTCCGAAACCATTTATCTATTCTAGCAATATCATCTATGCAGGATTCGAATCTAAAATCAATTGAAATTAGTTAACGAAAGGAAAAAAATAAATTTTCAAAAAAAAAAATCCACAATTTATATTTAAATGCAGATACGACTTCAGAAACAAACTTTGACTCAACATCAGGTAAAAAAAACAAATTCGTACTCTTGTGAAGATACTTCTGATTCCCATTTGTATTTGCACACAACGGAAGAAATCAGTAAACTTAATAAACCATACTTCAAATCGATGTTATGTATGCATTGTCGTTATTGTTTTGTCATTGTATGACCGTAATTTCTTCCTCATGATTATCGATTGAAATTCATTTACCATCGATGATATACACTAGCACAATGAAATTTAATTACCATGCATGACATTCCTAAAGGAACAATATTTACTATGACGAAAACTCAAACAGAACGATAAGTAGCAGCAGCAACCTAGTATTTAGTATTCCGTAGTCCGTAGTCCGTATTTCGTACTCAGGATTCCGTACTCCGGATTCAGTATTCAGGACTTCAGAACAGAAACTGAACTCACAAATTTGTTCAGTCCTCTGAGTTGTTTGTTATTCCTCTGTGACAATTTTTGTAAACTTTTGTACATTTCATAAATCGAATTTTAACGTTGCCTTGTCATTGAAAATTTATTTTAGAATATCCTCATAACCAAAATCAAAAATAGAAAGAATAAGGACAGCGACAAAGGGAGATTTAATGGTAGGGAAAAAAGGAGGAAAATAAACGTTCATTTCGATTGCAATTTCCAAGTTTATGTAGACAATTTGCCAAAGAAAAAATAAAAAAAAAATAAGAAATAGAAATACAAATAGGGAAAAGGGAAAAAGTATTACTAACTTCGTTATCATCAAATTACATTAACTACACTTTATCCTTGGTCAGTTAAACTTTTGAATGCTTTAAACTGATATTTAATTGTACATTTAGAGATTTAAGTTTGAGTTCGCGAATTAAATTTGAAAAAATTTTGTATTCTTTCTAATCAATAATAGTAATTTCTTTTAGAACGCATTTGATTTTATAAAATATTTTTAATTTTTTTTTCAAATCACATATGATGAATGTTAGCTTAGACCTAGGTCTAGGTGAAGGAACTCTACCTATTCTTATGAATGGTGCAGAGGAAAAAGAAAAAGAACTTTATTACAATTTAAAAAGCTGTTAGGGACTTACAACCGAAAACCGTTTAAAGAATGCATATCACAAACAAAAAACAACCTAAGAATTATTACGGGATTATTGACCGGTCACTATAGATTGAATAATCATCTATCGAAGTTTGGAATTCAATCCAATACAGATTGCAGATACTGTAGCGAAGAGAGAAAAACTGCATATCATTAATAAGTAAAATTAGTAAGTAAGAAAAATTAATAAATTAAGTAAATATATTTAATTTCAATTTAATTTTTGTTTCAAGTATAAATTATTTTTAAATTATTTTATTTCAAAAAAACTATTTTATAAAAGTTTGAAACAAATATTTTAATATAAATATATCTTCTCATGAAATTTTATGATATATTTGTAATATAGATTCCATATACTTTTTTTTTAATAATCTAATGAAACATAATTTGAACACAATGCTAAACAAATTTCGTATTTACTTTTGAAAAGTATTTATTTTTCCATTAAATATTATTTATTACAATAATATATTGATTTTATTATCCTTAATATAATAATTCCCTACAGTTTCTATTAAATAAAATAAACACGGTAATTCTATTTAATAAAAAAATTTATTTAAATTTATTTGCAACTTCAATATTTCGATCACCTTCGATGGTCATCTTTAGGACATTATATCGTTTTCAATAACTACGTAAATAATATATATAAAAAAAATTACTTTTGTTTTAAAACTATTATTTAACTCATTATTATACATTTTTGAATAATAAGTGTAAAATTTTCAAGTGTTAAATTATTTTATAAAAATTATATATACATATATAAACAATATAATTAAACTACTAATAAAAAAATTTATTAAAATTACACATACTTCATAAATATTATAATTTATATATAGATTCAAATTTTATATATATAGTACTATATATTTATTTACGTATATTTATTTATTACATGTATTAAGAGCTTGAATATAATAAATATATATGAAAAAATAACATACTTCTCTACAAGTAGGTTTATGCGTAGTATTTCTTTTTTGAAATTAACATT